ATGGCTCAATCTTCGAAGGCTGATATTTCTAGATTAAAACACACTCACATGCACCAAATGTCGCCTGCGAATACACCTGGGGAAAAGACCATTCTGTGCGGCTCACCAAAAAAAAAAAAAAAAAAAAAAAAAAGGCAAGCAAATGACATCCGTGAGGTCTAAATAGCTGTATTCTTAGCAAAGACTCAGGCAGGATCTTACCTTAAGACCTTAGCAGCTTCCCCCAGAATTGTTCCCTTCTTAATGAGTGAGGAATGGGTTTTGGAAGGAGAGGAGACGTAATGATCTAGCCAGTAGATGGAGGTTGTTCCTTGTTTCTAGCAGAGAATCCCTGTGTTAATTAAAATCAACAAGCTGCTTGGTGGAAAGATATTTTTCCTCTCCCTGCCCCACGCCACAGCCTCTACCACAGAATTGACGTGAATTTCTAACCTCTGACCTCTTACCAACAGACACTTTATACCTGCCCCTTACTTTTGTGTTTACTCTTCCAAATGTTTTTAAACAAAACAAATAAACAAAAAAGCATGAAAAAAAGAAACCCCACCTCCCAAAAGTAGCTGGTTTGCTAGATTTTCTTGGTATAGCTCTCTCAGTCATCTCTCCTGATATAGCTCTCCCCCCTCAGTAATCAGGTGGGGTGCTAATGAGGAGCTGGTTGTAAATAAAACTAGTAAAGCAAATAACATATTAGGGTTTTTTTTTAAAGGCGGCAAGGACTGAAGGGCTGTTAAAATACTGCACTATTTCCCCATCATGCCATCATTTCGCTCTGTGCCTATTCACAGCTGAGCAGCAACTCCTCTGTGTTGGGGCCATCTCTGTACTTCTTTTGAAAATCGTACCGAACCAGCCCTGGAATGTATCAACCCTTCCCACTTTCATAAAAAGAACCCCTCTCAAATGGATTCTCTAAACAGCAAACTTCAGCCTGATGTGATGTGATATGATGTACGGATGTATGGAATAACCTCGCATTGCCAAACCAGATGAAATTGGGAGTTGTCATACAATACAACGCAGCCAAACCTCGGATAATTGTAAAACTGAATCCAATTTAACCCATTAGAATAAAATCAGATGCCAAGAAGAATTGGAATCATTGCTTCTTAGGTGAGGGCATGGATGACAACTGATCTACTGACTCAAAACAATAGAAAAAATATGAATCTGAGAGTCATTTTTAAGAGTCATTCTCCTTACAGGGCTATGCGAAACTCAGCACCGCCAGGAGCCCAGGGGTTTCAACCATGCTCTTAGGGGAGAGCAGTACACGCGTCTTTCTCACCAATTATTTACAGAATGGTTTTCCGGGAGATGGGTTTCCTGTAAGAATCCTAAAGGCGGGGGCAATTGGTTCTGGGTCAGGAATACTAGAGGACTTCTCCCCCCCCCCGCCCCGTGACAGTTTCAACTCCTCTCTCCTAAGCAACGTGGCCATTTAGTGTCTGTAGCCAACATGATTCTTTATTCGAAACAGCAAAGAATGCTAATGATCTTACAAAGTCAAAAATAACGCTGTTGTTGTACAGTCATCGACAAAAATCTGTAAGTGTCTGAAAGCAATTAATCCACCACGTGTAAGGAAGGTGCAGCGCCAGGAACGGGCTTGGGTTGATGATGCTGTCTTTGGCAGTTCAGCAAATCCCCTAGTTTGCCTAGACTCTGGCAGTTGTGGTGGTAGTTGTCAACAAACAGCTGCTGGTGTGAACCGAGTTCATGCTGCAGACAAAATAATAGCATCGTGTCACTGAAATGTTCCTCTCCACGCCACGACTTTCAGCGTGTTCTTTAAAATGGGAATCTCGTCAGTAATCCCACGGTTGGTGAAGGCTCCGCTCCTGGTGTATTTAATCTCTCTCTCTCCGGTCCTTACAAATAGCTAGATGGTTTATATAATAATGCATGGAAATGTCATGCTGAACGCTTGAAATCAGAGTTTCAGGGGTGACATTCGGGGAAGGCTTGTTAATTTCAGTTCCCATAGTATTTTAACTTGGACCTGCAGTAAATACCGCGATCTCGTGTTACAGCAACTCATCTGAAGTGACTGATTAAGCAGGTGTCAAGGAGGGAAAGTAATTAAAGTGCTATAATACTAAAAGCGTCGCAATCTTTTTTGCAGGATGGGTATTTTGTGGGCGGGTGATAAAAAATAAATACACGAAGTTTGACTTATTGACATTAAGGAGCCGCAGGTCTATTTTACTTTCATAATATGCATGGTGGTGACACGTTTTTAAAAAGTTTTTCATCGGATTCACTTACAACCGGGGAGTTTAAAGCCAGCCTAGCCAACGGCAAGAACAATCCTTAATACTGAAGAGCTTTAATCACAGCAACGGCATCTCTGTATCTGCCTTGAAATTGGCCTTGTGCACGAATAGATAGATAGATAAAGATAGATTTAAGTGGGCTTGTTCTATTTTGAATCTTCTTGGGACACCTGCACTTTCTGTATCTTTTCTGTTTACTTCGAAGGGCCTTTTTCTTGCCCCATGACCAATGTATTGCTGCTATTGCCAGGCTATGTCTGCATTAGCTACTTTATAAGAAGCATTGTTCCTCTCACAAAATAGAAAGGGGGCAAAGAGAGATTCCATTCTAAAGTGAGCTCCAGCCGTTTATATGGCCAGATGTATTGCCCTTTCCATAGGCAAAACGCATCCAAAGGAACCTTCGATGCATTTTCCCCATCTAACGATTTCGTTTAGAAAATATTATTATATATATAATATCTTCTTCCAATTACCGACGCCCTAATGGGAGCAGGAGGCAGAGGAGTATGCAAGGCTTATAATAAGCTACCTGCTGCGTCATGCCTAAATAATGTCATGCTTTATTTCATTGTTATTATTGCTGTGGAGATGACATAACTAGACCTTACATTGGAAATTCTCCTGCTAATAAGATAACGAAGAACGATGGATCCCCCTATGTTGACACAAGGGGAACCAGTTGCTTGTGGATCCTTAAATTATAGTAACTACCATTTGATTCCCCGAGCCACAAAACTGATGAGATTCTACCTTTGGATACCTTTAAGTGCAGCAGATCAGTTCATTTAGGATTTTTACGCCTCCATTTCCCTGCAATAAAAATCTCCCTCTATGTATTTGCATGCATACATGGGGCTATCTAAACACCCCTAATAACACTAAACATTAATTTACTATTTGCTAGAACGGTGATTCCAAGGACTTTCAGCTATTTGTACACATTCTGTTTAATGTGGCTTCAGTCTATTTACTTGCCAGACGTGAATGTTCATTTAGATCCAATTACTAAACCGAGGCAAATGGAATTTAGCTCTGAACTGCTGCTCTCCCATCTTAATGTATAAGGAATGATATTAATACGCAAACGAAATCCATTTGGATGTTTAATGTTACCAGAAGGCTGCGCTGACGTTCAAACGATCTAAATCTTAGCATATGGGAGGCTGCACAGGGAGCTTTCTAGGATGGGTTTCAAGCCATTTCGTTCAACCAAAGCTGAAGTGGACCGAACTGGGACACCAAACAACTGACAATAGTTTCCAGTTTAAGTAGACCCCGGGTGCTTCACAATCCACAAAAGGGGAGGAGAAGGGAAATCTTTCGGTTTATTACAACAGCTAAGGGTAACCATATCCCCCCTCCTGTTCTTTTTCTAACATGCAATGTCCATCTTGGAGTTCTCAGATAACATCATGATAGCTAAATGTCCAATCACTGCCTACAAATAACCCAGCTCGCACTTCATATTTGAGGGGAGGTAGGTAGGAAGGGAGCCATCTCGATCTTAAAGATATTTGTCAGGTACTTGGTGGGGGTTTGTTTGTTGGAAACATACAGTGATCAATGGAAATCTTAATCAGGAATATTTGGGGGCTATTTACTCCATGAGAAAGAGACAAAAAATACAATAGTCAAGATACCAACAACGTTCATGGGAAATAGAACAGGACTTAAAACTAAAACAAAACAAAATAAAATAAAGCTGAGATGTCGTAGTTAGATGTCTTCTATCATACAACAGTTAAGTACCTCCTGGGTGCTCATGAATATTTGTAGGATATTTTACATTTCATTTTATGTTTGCAAACATAGTTCTCTCGTCTTTTCAAAGGCACTTGCTAATTTGGACACCAAACAGACTGATGTTCAATCAAATACACAGAAGTTAAATTATTCAGAAACTCAAACGCATCTGTGGGACCCCCACTGCCCCTCCTTTCAGTTCCAGAGACTTTACCTTGTAATGAGTCTGTCAGGAAAGCCTCCTTTGATTTTTACCTCAAGGTGATGGCAACAATCACCTTTTCCATGGGGTGGAAAGATCGATGTTTGGTTCTGTGTGTGCTTTGCCACCCTTAACGATGCTACGATGTTTCATTGAATGGCAGATGGACTTGGTAATGACACATTTGTCTTCGTTCTCCTTGGACCAGAGTGGCGGAGGAATTGATGGAGGTGAAAGCTTGATGCTGTGGTTCGATCTGGGTTTAATGCCACTCTCGGTGTCAGTGGTACTTCAGTTCAGACTAATTTTTTTAATGGCCTATCTAACGATCTTCGAATGTCAGCATGATGTGATAAAATAGTATGGGCCGTGCTCCAAACAGACTTCCCTAAAGAATGGCTTTGATTCACACAATATAACGAAATAAAATATATGGTCTTTTATATTCTTACTGCTAGAATAAAACCGTTTTGAGATGGGATTACACTTCTTGGGCATTCTTGTAGGTTACACATGGCATTCAGTGATGTAAATAAAAAAAATAATTGAAACTCCTCGATTTACTACCAAAATCAACAACATCTCTTGAAGTGATTTACGGTGCATACAGTAGCAGTGTTAAGTAAAGCGATGGTAATCTGAGTACTACCTGCACCCGTATTCTTGATTTTACAGCGAAATTAATCGTGGTCTCAGTTTGTAACGTGTGATTTATAACGCTAAGGAAAGGGAAAGGAGTATCACTAATAATGTAGCATCTGAAACACCCAGGCACACACGGTTTAGCTTGGTTTTTATTACAATTGAAATGTATTCAAATAACCCAGCATCAATAAAAGGAATGCCAATATTAATGCAGTCGAAGCCACAAAGAACTGATCCTGGCTTAGGTTTCTGCAGTCTCTATCGTAGATGACAAATGCACTGATCGTCAAGTATAAAAAAATGAATTGAACCGCTTCTTTTTGGACGGGTCTTTTACGTTAGCTTGATCATATGGACACTGCAGAAGAAATAAAACAAGTCATTATTGCATTACTTAGCAATCAGTAAGAAAAAGCTCAACCCTGCTACGTTTAAAGAAGAATTGTTAATTATATTATATAAATCATTTGATCTATTGTGCCCTCCAGACTAACAGGAAAATAATGGCAACCCCAAGCAAATGGTCCTAATTAGTGCCCAAGAACCATTTCCTAAATACGTCCTTCCAACTCGAAGAATTTGACTGACCAAACCAATCTGTCCCCCCACCCCCTTAAACTTCTTTAGTTGGTGCATTATTGCAAAATGTTCTGCATAACAGAGCTCCGAGCAAGGCAAAGGGGCAACCAGGACAATAACGTTCTAGCCTTTCAGTGTTGTCTGTAATAAGTGTAAACATTTCCTGATAATTTTAAATTTGTTTTCAAACGTCTACCAGTTGACTCTCTCTTTATAAAAGTACTTAATGAGTTTTCATCAAAGAGTGAGTTTTTGGCATCATTACTCACGAATTTCACACTGCAATAGTGGTATAAGAAAACTTTTTCAACTAAGAAGCCAAAAAGGAACTAGAAGTGAGCAGTGCACATTTGAACTGTAAATTACCCGGTTGTTTCCCTCCTTCCCCCTTTTTTTCGTGCGCTGTTCTTTAAAGCATGTTCTAATAACTAAATTTACTAAGGGGAAATATATGTTACCCACCTGGGGCGTCAAACACTACTCGCCTGAGTAAGGTGAATTTGATCAACATATTATTATGGGCCTGATCTTGTCAGCCATTGAAAGCTACGGGACTTTTGCTATTTACTTCAATGGAAGCGGGACTGTGCTCAGTGTGCAAATTACAAAATATCACCTTCTCACACTGCACAACTTCGATTTCTAAACGGTATTCAGAAAATACCAACACCAAGTCCTATTATTATAAAAATCACACAATATTCCACCGTACCCCACATATTTTGATACTTCTCAGTCAGACTGGAAAACAGACCCTTCAACATAAGTCTAGAAAACTAAACTACATTTGTGGCAAAATATCTCTGTTATGTTAGTTCATTTCTTTAAAAGGAGAAAGTTTGCTCTGAATAGACTTTCTGTCATGCTGGTTCTTTTCATAGGCATCTTGCACTTGCCAACGAGAACATGACTTATATAAAACAACAGTCTATTAAATAACTCCTGTGAAATTCTCCTAGCAGTTCAAGGAGATAATGTTAACCTGAAATGTTGCAACATTCTATTTTAACGTTAAGAAAATCCCTCAGTGACCTTTCCTGGACTTATTGTCCTTGGCTAGTCTAAATTTTACAGTGAAACATGCCAGATAGCTTGCTAGCTTTTCCTAATGCCAGCATTTAAAATATTTTTCAAAGTTATTTTAATGCTGCAAAGCAAAGATTTCATACTCACATGTCTGCATGCAGAACCACAGCATTTACCTCTCTGCAAGTGGGCAACTTTGGTGAACACTAAATAGCCAGTAACTGGATCCACATAGTTTTGCAGGCCAGCCTTAAAAAGAACCACCCAAAACAGAGTCAACCTCAATTCTATATAGTCTTCATCTCTTTGTGGTTTCAAACTGGAAGTGCTTTGACATTATCTCCCTAAAATCCAACTGTTTAACTGAAACCAGTTCAACTATTATAATCTGACCCTTATACTCTGTAACTCAGACAGAACTGACAAATAAAGAGATTTGGGGAAGTAATAGAGCATCAGCAGTGCATATTTTAACATAGCCATAGATTCAGCCTTCGCCATTCATTTCCTTAGAGATATTTTATATAGTCTCTAAATTATTCTAAGCTTTTTAGAAGAAAATGGACTTTCACACCCAGGCTGCAGCTGCATTTACACTTCGAATTATAAGAAAGTGTAAATGTATGATGCTGTATTTATGCTTCCAGAAAAGGGTCTAAGAGAATGTGACATTTACACTCTTCCTGTTCACTTTAGACATTATACACTTTTGGACTTTTTTATGCCACATTCTTTTCCCTTTCTAAATGTTCTTGAGTTTTGATTACACTGTAAATTATTTTTTAAAATGGTTATAAAATGTTGACACCTTCTGCTGCTTTCAAGTGCTGCTTGATCAAAAGCAACTTTCATCACGCCAGCTTTGACGCTAAAAAGTATAACTGCAATTTGCAAACATGATGCAACTGTTAAACTATTTTATATTGGAGGGAACGTAAATACTTGGCTGGCATCCGCCTCTGGTGCTGGACAAAGCTGTGTGGTAGCAAGATATCACCTTTTAATATTTAGGTCACTGTTTGATTGTCATTTCCAGCAAGTGGCCTTTGCAATTGCAACAATGCTTATAGCCAGCGGAAATGTTAAGATGCCAGGGTTTTGGATCGTGTCTTTGCCGGTATGGACATAGCTTTAAAATGTTCGACACCAAATACGTCACTGCTACGTTTTGGAGAGCAAAGATAACGCTCCCTGAGTTAAGCTGGAGCTGCACATTTCAAAAGTGTAAGCGAATCAACTCCTTTGCTTCCCTGTTCTGTTGCGCCAGTGCATCCGTAAAGGGGCACATTCCCTGGTGTTTGCCTGCAGCCCCCGAGATAGCGGACGGACTAACACAAAGAAGCGAAGCCCAAAGGTATTTTTAAAACTGGTCCAGAAAACCTGCTAAACATCAGCCATCACTAATGGCGGCAAAGGCAGAGAGCCAGCCGCCTGCGAAAGGGAAGGCAGGTGGGAAATCTATCTGCGGGACTGTTCCATGCCCACGTTAAGGCCATTTACTGTAACCATGCTGAATGCCAACAACTGCCATTTGACCCTCCGGCGGGCAGCTGCCTAGGAATGGGGGAATTCCTCAGTGGGAATCTCCTGCTGGGACCGATCTCGCTGGAGGCAATGGCAAAACTCCGCAACCGGAACAGAATCGGCCCAATGGCTGTCCAGGCAAACTCAGCGACTGCTGGCGGTGGAAGAGGCCGCTGCAGAGAGGCGCGCAGCACAAGGTGCTCGGAGATGCACATCCGTGGGAGAAGGGGGAAAGGGCCAAGCGTTCGCCATGCGTTGCAAACAGGGTGCGTTGTCTAGAGCAGGGGGAGAGGAGGCGGAGGCCACTTATTGCTACAGACTCGGTATTTACTGCAGGTTCTCATTGGCCTTCCATGGTGGGCTCCTGTCTAATGTATGCTGTCCCTACCGCTAGTGATGAGCCCCACGCACAATTACAGCAGGTTGCTTCCATCTCTCCAGAAAACAAAACAAAGCAAGGCTGCCCCACTTTCCTCTGCCCTCCGGTATGGGAGATGAGGTACCAGCTCAGCAGCTCTCGGCGTGCAAAGGGGAGCGGAGCGGTTATTAATCATGTCAATGCCGGAGTTGGACATGGAAGGAGAGAGTCACTTCGCATGTCGGCACCCTATCTGCCTTGAGGCTGGTATCGGGACATATTTCCCTTCCTGCAAAACACCCGAGCATTCCATAAAAACTAGAAATACAAGCTAGTTTGTCAGGCCCGAAGGCTGGGTAAATACACATTTGGTGTTCAGGCTACCAGCACTGGGCAGTTTGCTGGGCGTCCAAGAGTTGGATTGTATCACCACGTTGTTATTTTTGGACATATTTCTCCCTGACATAATCAATAACTAAGATCTAGTGCTGTAAGTCCCCAGTGTGCAGGTAACATGGCTCACTCAGGCGCTGCATGAGCTTTCTGTCTGGGGACTGCTGCCCCTCTCCGGAAAGATTTCGCTTTTGCTGTCTTAATTGTTCTCTTTGTCCCAGGCCTTCCGTGACTTGCCCCAACCCTACAAAATGATGGAACTGGGAGCGCGCTCGAAAGGCTTCTCTGGTTTCCTGTGGGGTTTTGTGACTTTATTCTCTTTACAGTTCCCGTTGCACCAGGCAGCGTCTTGTGAGCAAATGGCCATCTCTGATCGCGCAGAGGCACGTGCCAATACTTCTGTGCAGAGAAGTTCGGGCTAGAAAGGCCATCGCTATGAAATACCCCAAAGGGACCCCCGGCCACAGCAACCCCGGGGAAGTTGAAAGGGCAAGACAGTCACTGATCGTTAATGTGGCACAAGTGTTGCTGGGACACGGAGCTCCTGTCACTCTCTCGGTTGTGCATGCACTTCCACTTCTTCCTTGTGACCGCAGCCAGCCCCGAGAGCAGCTCGCTGCGCTCATCCAACCGCCTTAGCCCGCCTCCTCCCCCCTTTCCCTGCATATCCAGGCCACACGCCGGAGCTCGGGACACGGTGTTGGGCCGACCCCGGCATGCCCCCAGCTCAGGCTGAGGGAGAGGCCCGGGAAAGCCAACCTGTCCATGCACTTCCATGGGGCTGGCTGCAGAGGGCCAGGCAAAGCTGCCAGCGTGCGCGGCACTGAGCAGCCCCGGGCCGTCCATTAGCCGCTGCAGCAGGGGAGCGGGTCCGCAGGGAGCCCTAGCCTGCAGCACGCCTCCAGCCCCGCGGGCCCGCCTGGGAGCAGCCCGGAGCGGTGAGGCGGCTGCACAAGCAGTGCCCCGCGGGCCCGAGCAGGAAGCGCGGGGGACTCACCGCGCAGGCCTCCCGGTGCAGCGCCACGATCCGCTTCTCCGCCGCCGTCAGCAGCTCCTCGCTGCCCGGCCGGCTCGGCTGCTCAGAGCGCTCCCCGCCGGCGCCGCCCGTGGCCCAGCGCACCCAGGTGCCGCAGCCGCTCTGGCTGCAAAGAGGTGCCCAAGGTGGGGAGCCGCTTGCAACTGGGCGCCAAGGACGCCGCTGCCATGGGCCCAGGGGAGGGACGCGGCTGCGGCCGCGAGTCCCTGCTCTGTTGCAGCCGCAGGAGAGCCCCAGCCAGCTGGAGGGCCCCATTCCTGGCACTTCTCGCCGGGGCGCCACCCTCTCCCGCCGGGGCAGGAAGCAAGTCTGGGTCACAAGCCCTGAACAGACCCAGGCTGGTCTCCCGTTGGGGCTCGTTGCTGGTCTGCGTCCACCTGGGGAGGCCGAAAACAAAAGAACCGAGGTCTGCTCCTGGTGCTGTCACCTGTCACCCACCTCTGCTCTCCTCCTGCTTGTCACACCCCTGGCTATTCAAAGAACACCGAAGGCAATGGCAGGACTCCAGCGAGCTTGGATCAGGCCTTTAGACTGTCTTAGCTGCTTGTGCAGCCCCTAGCCCAGCCATGCCTCCAGCCCAAGGAAGGACTTTGGAATTAGTGTAATATAATAATTAATAATGTCCTTGTCCCTGCAGTTATGTTAGAAACGACCCATTCTACACGGACAAGGGGTTTACAGAAAATATTTAATTTTTGCATATTTCTGCTATGTAGCCCAATAGTTTTCAGTACATCCCAGCCAAATCCTGCTGGCATGTGTATATATGTTTGCAGGATCAGGACCTTAAAAGGAAAATACTAAATATGTCTGTTTTTTATTCTATATTCTCTCACTTTTTAATAGCTGGGTTTCCTGTCTGGGCAAGGAAGTGAATATCCAGATCACGATGCAGTAAGTAGGCAGGCAAAGCAGGCTGCTACTTGAGAGTCTTCATTGAAAAGCATGTGTTCCAAGCTGCATGTACATGTAACAAACCACTATGCTCTGCACAGGATGAACCACTTTCAGATGGTCACAACTTTGTTAAATTATAACTAACTTATTTTCAACCCCAGTAAAGACCTTACTCTGCACGGAGGTCTATTCATCTGCTGAGTGTCCGCTTCCGTATTTCAGTCATTTTTGTGTTCTCGGTTGTATTCAGGTTGAATTTAATTGTATTTTTGTATTTTATTTGAAAATAAAAAGTATACCATATAAACTTATGAACATCATATTGTTTTATTCCACAGCACAGGAAGATATTCATTGTTGGTATTGTCATCTCAGAGCATTTCTAAAAGTGCCCCAAATTGCATCATTATATTTTAAAACTTTTTTGTATTATTCAGATAGCACTGTATGTGATGCTTTAAAGTAGCAAAAATACACATAAAATATTGCACCTATCCTGAAAAACTTAGTTTACCTTCTTTCCTATAGCGTTCTTTAATTTCATCAGTAAGATGAGTAAACAGTCTATATTGATTATATAATAGTTATTGCCCCCACAAAAAACCTATAACTAACTTATACAGTAGTTAGTTGAGTTCATTTCCTATCAAGGTGATGAGTAAAAAACAAGGAATTCACCAGTTAGATAATACACACTCAATTCACAGGCCTTATCACCCACACATCATGATATACAAACATACTGGGCTTGATTCTCCTCTCACTAATACCAGTTTTGCACCTGTGTAACTCTGTTGGCTCCAGTAGCACTGATTTATGCCAGCCCAAGTGAGAGGGGATTCAGCCCTACAGACATAGCTCCAAAGCAAAGTCCTTTTCAATTGCAGCATACAACCCCAATGCACGTATGCAGTCCCTCACAGTCACACCCACACATACAGCTTGATCTCTGACCTCAGCTAAATTAAGATATATTCCCTATACACAACGGTGAAGTCTATGGTGTGTTATTTGTATGTGGAAAAGTGTAACATTGGAGTTAAGGCTGTGCGGTTGAGTGTGGACGATGGAAGGAGGTAGTGGAAGTTGAGATAGGGAACTGGTAAGTGGAGTGTTGATAGACTTAACTACTTGCTTGTTACAGTTTGGGTTGGTGGGTTATGCATTTTAGCAGTATGAGCTCTAACAATTTTTTTTTGTAGGAGAATACCTAGATATACTACTATATTCAATAGCTTCACAAAATGAAGATGCTGGCTAAATATCCTATTTCAAAAGTTTCTTTGTTGTAAATATCAATAAAATATGCTCATTTTTGCAGATGTTGGCCCTTATCCTGCAGTTCTTGTCAGATTTAATGTGTATTTCAAATTTTGACAGATAAATTCCTCGTGAACTTCTATGAAATCCTGAGCAGAGCATAGCCGGAACCAGCCAGCACATGTATCTTTAACTTTTTCATTGAGGATTTTGCAGACCGTGTTGTGTAACACCTTCCACAACTTGTCACCTGAAAATATTGCCTGTGCAATGAGAAACCCTGTCACAGGCACACATTTTTGTGGAACATAGGCATAACCATCTAACTGCTGATTTCAGTGACTTCCAGCAGGGTGAATTTTGCTGATTAAAGGTCAAAGTATATCAGAAGCATAGGGAGCTGAAGTCAATGCAAGCAGGCTAAGGCCTGGAGTGTGCGATGCTGCTCTGTTATCACTGCTAAAAATAGCAGTTTTGCCTGTTCCTATAGAACAACCAGTTCTGATATCTAGGCTATCGCCTGCCAATGGAAGCTTGTTCCAACCAGTATATTCAACCTTTTTTTTTCAGTTTTAAATTACTCAAGCAATGGGGCTTCTGCTGCTTCCCGTAGGATATTCTTCCACAACCCTCTGGAGAAGGCTTGCCTGTTCTCATCGTACAGTGATGAATCAAGGTAAGATGGCTGCTGCTTTTCAAGGAGCCTGTGTGGTGGAAGTCGTAGAAGCAGCTGAGAGCAAAACAGTCAGGGCCGGCTCCAGGCACCAGCCGAGCAAGCTCGTGCTTGGGGCGGCAGATTCTACGGGGCGGCATTCTGCCCAATCCTAGGGCGGCACGGCCGCTTTTTTTGGTTTGGTTTGTTTTGTTTGCCGATCCGGCAGCCCTGTAGGGGGCAGTGGCGCGGAGGAGGGGAGCGCCCTTCTGGGAGCGGGCTGCGCGCTCCATCTGCCCCAGCCGGTGCCAGGTTTGTAGCAAGCCCGGCAGGGCAGCCCGCATCCTTCCCTCCTCACCGACCGGAGCGGTGCGGAGCCCTCCCGGCAGGCGGCGCAGCGGTCGGGGCCGCGTGGCAAGTGCCCCGCTGAAGCCCTGGCTGCCCCCCTTCTCTCTCTCCCTTCCCGCTCCCTCCCCTTCTCCCCTGCTAGCCGGGGCACGTCTGCAGCGCCGGGAGTCTCCCTGCACCCTAGCTTCGGCTGCCCCGCAGATTTTTTTTTTTTTTTGCCTTCCCGCCCCCCCCCTTTTTTTTTTTTTTTTGGCTTGGGGCAGCAAAAAAGTCAGAGCCAGCCCTGAGAACAGTAACGAGTTTCCAGCAGTGATGGGACAATCTGGAGAAGGGATTGTCTGTTGGCAGAGCTGGTGTGGCCAGGGAAACAGGATGGCGGTGGAGTGCTTTGAACCACTCCACCTGGGACTAAGCCTGAGGGTCCCAGATTGCAGTTATCTGGGGAGTTTACTCTCAGGCTTCAGATAAGCAGTTGGTCATAACAGGAGTAACAATGAAGGATTGCCTGTAGGAACTAGAGGGGACTCAGCAGTAGCGATCCTGAATCAAAGTGTGCTGGGGCCTGGCTGCCTGTGGTTGCTGATAGAGATAGGTGGAGGTATTGGGGTATGGAGAGCAGCAGGAAAGGGGAACTGTGGAAAGGGATCAGGAGGTTGATCTCCACCAGCAGCTGGGCTTTCTTCCTTGAAGGGAAAAGCTGATAGTTAGGGGGATTTTTCTGTTAATTTTATGGGGGGCATTTGTTCTGAGATGGGAGGAGTGTGATTGTTCAAAACCCTTTGGGTTTGCAAGTGGACTGGCTTAGAACTATGGTCTGGGAACGGTGTGGGAGTGTAGTGTGGAAGGACATTAGTCAATGACATTTTGGTAATCAAGGTAGGTGGGAGGAGGAGATAAAACCATGGGTAAAAGACAATAAGAATGGGGGACTGGCAGTGGCTAAAGTAGATTGAAATGGGAGGGAGCTCTCACTGCACCAGCTGAGATGAGGCAAATTACTGAAGCCTTCATTCCTAGCACAGGAAGGTGCCCCTTGCTTTAACATTTGTGGATGGGGAGGCCTGGCTTCTCATCAGAGTATGAGATCTGTGTAATTTCTGATTGTGGCCATGCCATATAGGATGGGGACTTTGAATGCCCAGAATATTGGGGTGTCAGATCTCAGGCACTAGTTTGAGATTTTAAATAGAGCAGGGCAGAAAGGACAGGAAAAGAGTTGTGAGAGTTTGAAAAATGTTCACATCCCAAATCTGGATGAAAAATTAATCTTTAAAATTTTTGCAAACCTAAAATCTATGGTTTGTTTGTTTTTTTTTCAGATCAGGTAAATCAAAGCATTTTGTTTTGATTGTCTTTTTTATTTTTAACCTTAAATTAACTTTAATTTAAAAATGAAGTAAAAAAAGGAACTTTTCTGAAGCTGTATTGTTCAACAATGTTTTGAAGTGGGAAATTCATCAAAACTGACCCTTTCCTGTGAACGGTTCCAGTTTTGCTGAATCAGCAGTTTTGGTAAAAAAAAGTTTAGTTGAAAAATTCTTTACTGGCTCTAGGTTTAAAGCCTTTGCCACTGGATGTCACACTTCTTCAACAACTGCTATTTGACTCAGGAATGGAAGTGAGTGCAGTAGAAAGAGACTGGCATGTAGGACCTATTGGGCCAGAGGCCAGTGTCAGTATAGGGATATTGCCTTACTCCCACTGAATAACCTGCCACAGGTTCTTGAGATACAAGCTTGTCTTGTACCTTTTCACTGCCCATCTATTAATGTTAGTGTCAGAGTCCTCACCTGAATATCCAAGGCAGGGCATCAAGATGGGACAGCTGTGAACATAACACGTGGGGCCTGATTACCAGGCCCTGCCCCTAGAGTAGATGCTTCTACCAGTGTAAAGTGAATGTGAAATGCTACCATTCTGATTTGGGATAGCATTTTGTTTGACTTTGTACTGATGTAAACGATTCCATATGGTGCAGGGCAATGGAGGACCAGGCCCCTGGGCTCACATACAGAACTCCTATTGATCATTTGTACGGCCAAGAGCAGGAGGTCACCAGAGGTACAGATTTTAAATTGCAGTCTATGGAAATCTCTGA